AACAAAAGATTGAGGACATAGACACCTTTACTAAAAACATGCAGAAAGAGGATACTGTGCTTGTAATTGCAGGTTCCAACAACATTGAAACCATGAGCTCAACACAATTCCTGAACGAATTACAAAGTCTGTTTGAAAGATCCAAAGATACAAACTTGATTCTAGCAACATTGCCTTTGAGGTATGATCAACCTAATTTAGACTTAAAAATCTCAAGTATCAACAAGAAATTGGAAGATATGGCTGCTAAAAATAACTGTTTCACTTAACCACTTCACCATCTACCTCGCCAACTATTTACATACCAAGGGCAACATCTAAACAAGAGAGGGAAAGCAAGAGTATCTGAAATGGTTGTGACAATTATCACAGGGGAAGGAAAGACTGAAATAACACAGCCTACAACAAACACAAACTCAAACTCTTCTCAGCCATTCCTCATAGGAAATGGAATATCTGTAATAGAAACCAATATGAAGGATATTTTTGGAAAAATTAACCAGGATTCCTCAGTTGCTCTGGCCCATACCATCTCATCGGACTTTCAGCATCCGAATCACATGTCTGCTGGTGTGGCTGTTGCCTTCCGAGAGAAGTACGGACGTCCTTGTTTTCGTGATCTGGTGTACAGCAGGTTGGCCTGTCAAAGAATGAATGGCGGGCCTACTGTCTATAGTTTGATCACAAAAAACCGATTCTCAGGAAAACCTAGTGAGATTGACTATGATGTAGCTTTTGATCAGCTTACAACAGATTTCAGGTCTAAGCGGCTGAAAACTTTAATCTGTTCAGCAATGGGCTGCGTTAGAGACCTCATTAAGTTAGAGACCTCATTAAGCCTGAGCATTTCATCAAAAACATCGTCAAATTTCACCAGCAAACCAAGGCTAATGTAGTTATAGTTTCATACAACCAAAATGCAAGAAGAAGCTTATGGAGAGGACTTTCTCATGAAGAGTTTGTAGAGACATTGAGAGGCCTAATAACTTCGCACCTGCCTGTCCCGGACATCACAGCATCCCAAGAGCAGCTCACAGACACTAACACCTCCACACCCTGTCCAATCAAGAGAATGAGTGACATCAGCTCCATCACGAAGCAGCGACCATCTCCTAAGGGTTCTAGTCGGTCCGGCAGTGTAGTGATGCGTGATCTGAGTCAGTCCGGTGTGAGTGAAAGTGAATGTGGGCGACAAGATAACGACAATTCCCCCTTCCTAGACATCCTCAATCTCACACAGCCCATAAACACAGCCAACCTTTAAACTCCGACACTCCGAAAAATATACCAATAAAGTAAATAATTGTAAACCAGCAGGACACAATAAAATATCACAAAAATCACACATCTTAAAAATTTTTCACCTTAATATTCAACATCTACCGAGCAGAATAGAACGATTAGAAATTACTATTCAAGAAATTGACCCAGATATAATAGTATTATGTGAACACAAAATGAAAAGTCATGAATTGGACCTTCTCACCATAACCGGATATAATATTAACACTTTTTATTCACATAGTTTAAATGCTGGAGGTGGAGTCATAATACTATCAAAAAAAAATTCAAAGGCTAAAAATTTTAAAATTAAAAGTTTGAATTTACCGTCAATGAATCAGTTAACATCTGAAAAGGAATTTAAATGCTGTTTGATAGAATTTAAATGTGATTCATTTTCTTTTGTGCTAGCTGGTGTATATCGCTCTCCTATCTCTGATGTTAATATCTTTTTGACAAAATTAAATGCATCCCTGGAAATACTCTCAAAAACATACACTAATGTAATTATGACTGGAGACATTAACATAAATGTTCTAAACCCAAACTGTAATGAGTTTAGACTACTTAATGATATTCTTGGCTCACATAATTTTGAATTTTTAGTAAATTTCCCAACTAGAGTAACTGAAAAGACTGAGAGTGCTATTGATAACGTTTTCATTAATTTTAATCCCAACAGCATGCAAATTAGTGGTTTAAACACACAAATTTCTGATCACGATGCTCAATTATTAACCTTCAACTTGCCCAATAAAAATATGAACAATAAACCAATAACTAAAACAGTAAGAATATTTTCTAACCAAAATCTAAAAAAATTCTCAAATATGCTGAGTCAGGAAGGTTGGGAGGAGGTCTACTTTGCACCAGTAGAGTTGAAATTTAACACCTTCAACAGTATTTTTATGTATTACTTTGATATATGCTTTCCTATCTCTAAATGTAGAGATACTGATCAAAAAGTCCCTTGGAATAATCATGAGCTAGAAACCGAGAGGAAAAAAATTATAGAAAAAAGCACTTTAGGGAGAATAACAAAAAATGAATCTTTACTGATTTCAGATAAAGAAATGAACAAAGCATTCAAAAAAAATATTTTCAAAGTTAGACAAAGTTATATGGATGAAAAAATTTTGAGATCAGGTAATGTGTCCAAGACAACTTGGAATTTAATTAATTTAAATATAAAAAACAACAAAAAGGTTGTGAAGAGCATAGATGAAATAGAGGTAAATTTAAAAGTATATAATGACCCTATGGTTATATGTAACACTATTAATGATTTTTATGTCAATGCAGTTGATTCTGATGTAATTCCAAAAATAAATACACCAAATTTACTAGTACCTAATTTAGTAATAAATAACCAACAAAATAAATTTAGATGTGAACCAATCAGTGAGACAGATATCAGTAAAATAATTTCCAAATTTATTAGTGATGGGCGGATCGAAAAAAATGTCGGTACCGGATCCGGATCCGGATCTTGAAAAATTCGGATCCGGATCCAGATACACACTGTCGTAAGGACGGGTTAAAAAAACTTAATTAACAGAATGCCAATTTAAATCATACTGTTTAAAATTAAATTGGTAATGTTTAAAGGTTAATATCTATATCTATACTTCTATATCTATACTATTTTATAAAAATCTAATGGTGTCTGTCTGTATGTGTGTTACGAATAGGTGCAAAAACTACCGAACCAACTGGGCTTAAATTATACAAAAATATAGCTACCATACCAAGGACCATTATGGGACTATATTTCGATACTGACTGTAGGCTTTGCCCCTTTGGCTATACAAGTTCTGAGATGAACATTTTAAAAGTAAATATTGATTGGTCTCCATGGCTGCGATGAGAACACTAACAATGTTTGTTTACATTTGCTTTGACATTTAAATGCAAACAAGAAGAACTGCTAAACTGCATATTGCACAATTTCAGACAGCTGATACAAAGAAATTAAATATAATATTTTCCATAACTATGAAGTAGGTTTATTTTAATCTAACCTTTTATCATGGATTATTTATTCTAAAACTATGTCAATGATTATAGAAAAAAATATTCTATAACCGTTACTGTATCAACTCCGGCTCTGCTTTGGATTTTTTAAAGCGTCTAAGTTATGAAAATAATGTTATTGATCAGTTTTCATGGAAACAGTACGAAAATTACAATGTATAGATGTTTTGTATGAATTTGGAGGCTACTTTAAATAAATTCTAACTGCTTAACATGTGTTAGATTACCTTAACATAACTTGCACATCACATTCCTTTTTATATGTATATTTAGGTAAATTAAGTTATTGTGTTTTGATAAACCTATGCTTAAATTAAAATGAATATCACCGATAACTAAATTGTACGTTGTTGATTTTTGTTTTCTAAAATCTGTTGTATATGTGTAACTATATTTAATTATCAAATAGTAATAGAAATACTCTTATTTTATCTTAACATAGCTTTCAGTTCACATTTACTTTATTTGATACATTTAGTATTTGTGTTTTGCCACACCACTGATTAAATTAAACCAAAGAAAATATCATAAAACTAAGCAGTAAACGGTGTTCTTTTGTTTCTAAAATCAATGAAATATCTGCTACTATGTTTACTTAATGGTAAGTGTGAAAATAAATACAGTATATGTTTCATTGCATCTCTGATTCTACTCTACAAAAATATCAACAAACAAATTAATATACAAACCAGTTCTTTTAATCAGTTCCAATCTTTTGTAGTAACTGCATGCCGCCTTAGGAACTCTGTACCTTATCCCATTAAATCCTTGGAAAACCGATCCCGACTGACGGTGGCGCTGAAAGAATATTATCTTAACCGGATGGCTGTGGCGTGGCGGCATGGTGTGTATTAGGCCTGGGTGCAGCAGAGGGTGTATGTGTGTGTGATTGTGTGTTAGGGAAATAAATTTATGTAATGTTGTTACACCTATTTGTTTATTTTAATCTTTGTTGTTTTATTTTGTTAATGTTTATTATTATTGTTAGTTTTTTAGAGGTTAACTGTAAGAAAGGACCGTGAGGTCCTAAGTTCGCCTCAACAAAGAAAGATTTTCATTTCATATATGGTTCATATAGTGGGATGACATTTATGAAACATTAATGAATTATTTCTAGACATATGCATACGTCTTACTTACACCATAGAATACTTTATTATGTAATCCTTATGGATGAGCAAAATTATTGCATGTTTTCTGGTAATATTTTTCAATATAGCGCAAATCTTATAGTCTACTAAGTTATGTACAGCCTAATACTAGAGTGAAATATTTTTGTCAACATTAACACATTAATCAACAGACTTTTCAAAGTAGGCTACTATAAGAGCTGTAATTGAACGGTGGCAATCTTAAATGAAATTCATGAAACACTAATAAAAATAAACAATAAATAAAAAAATATAAACAAATAAAAAATAATATAATAAAATAAACAAACAACAGCCGGCTCACCCGCTACGTAGCCGTCAGACGTAGCTGCGGTGTGAACAGTGCACTGGCGACGTATTAACACACCGAATACATCTGCAGACGTTTGGCTACGCCGGTGTGAAGAGGCCTTTCCTTTAACCAAAGCTTTTGTGAGGTTACCGTTCTAGATAACCTCACAAAAGCTTCTGGAAATAATAATTGTTCTCTAATAGATACAATACAAACTACAAACTATCTTTTCTCTATTCCAGAGGAGCATTACCCAGACCAATGTCAAGAGTTGAACATGTTGCTGCCATGACTGAGTTTCGAAACTGTGTCAACATTATTCGAGGCAGTGTTTCCCATATGGTAAGTTTATTATGATTTTCCAATAATAAGTAAATCATTAATAATTTCCCTCCTAATTTAATTGGAAATTAGGCCTACTACTACTGTTTGAGAAAACAAATAACTCATTGGGTAAATATTATTTCTTTGTAAATAATTTGATGGAAGTTTAAATAAACGGTATCAGCAATCTGACAGATACACTCTCCCATTAACTTGTCAACAACCTTAATCATGGGTAAGTGAGAGTAAAACTATGATATTTAATAGGTAAAATCACAATAGCTGCATTAACTTTTGAACCTAATTTTTAAAGGAATAGGGGGCTTGACTATTTTGTTTAGAATTATAAGGACCATAACAGAAAAACTTTAATCAGAAGAAACTTTTTTGAAAATCCATTTTTCCGTTTTTCTTTTTTATGGGAAAATAACATAAATTAAAATAACTTTTTAGACATAATGAGGGATTGCACTGTGTTAATAAGAATTAGAAGGACCATCACTTACTAATTTCATGAAAAAATAAAATGATACGTCTAATAATACTTGTATATTTACACTTATACTGTTTACTCACAAGACATATAACAGAACGGAAAATACATATAAAAGATGGTAAGTGGTGATCTATTTTAATTGGACACTCCAGTCATCATTAGACCCAATAAGCAAATGGCCTACTATGACGTTCACAATTTAAAGGGCTACACCATTTTTTAATGGGTTTTCACAAGAAAATCACCATTAGGAATCAAAATTTAAAACAAATGATTATAACGCCTTGAGATACTATGGATTAATACTTACATAACAAATGTCATCAAAATTAGACTACAGGAGTGGTCTGTAGCTCTGTACAAATCCACACATACAGACAGACAGACATATTGTTTGTTGACACATTGTTTTAATAATTCCATAAAATGTTCTAATATAAATTCCTCTGTACCAATGAAAGTCTTGCAACAAAAATATGTTTTACAAATCAGTAGTTCAAATAATATTAATAAACAACCTTGGATTTTGCATTGGAATATTCAAGGCTTCATGAATAACTATAATGATTTAAATTTATTTCTTGAAAACTTAGGAAAAAATGTCAAAATAATATCTCTAAATGAGCATTGGCTGTCTGATAACAATATACTCTCTTCTGTCAATAAATTAGGAAAATTCAAGGTTGGGGACTATTTTTGTAGGAAAATTAAAAAAAGAGGAGGATCTGCTATTTTAGTATCTAATGAACTTGATTTTAAACTAAGAGATGATCTAAAGTTTGAAAATGAGGAAAACTCTTTTGAAGCTAGTTTTATTGAGATAACTCAGTGGAAAACCCTTTTTATTTCAATATACAGGATTCCAAATCATGATATTGATAAATGTTTTTTGAGCAAATTTGACTCTTTGTTAGATAAGATTTCACACGAATTACAGTTAAAAAATATTGTTATCTGTATGGATCATAATATGGACTTTTTGAACGGTGGTAACAGAGGAAAGCAATTACAGTACATTTGTGAACAGCATGGTTTAAAACATCACTTTGTGGATCCCACAAGAATTACTCCATTGTCTAAATCATGTATTAAGGAACGCGGCAGCGTTCCGCCCCGCCAAGTCCCCCAGCGGTACACAGCTGCTGCAGTGTATATATACATGACGTGACAAAGTGGCTTTTTTACTCGTCTATAGCTCTGAAGAAACAAAAGCTATTAAAATAATTGTTCATCTACTGGATAGGGGCAATCATTCTCAACAAAATAAAAAAAAGAATTTAAAAAACGGTTGTGTTTGAGCAAAGAAAAACTAGTTTGAAAATTCACAAATTTTCCGTGTTCTCCTTCTTCTCCTTAAATGTTGACGGACCTACAGCCCAAACCACTGGCTCAATTTTAATGTTCTTTATGTTGTGTGAAAGCCCTTAGCGTGTAGTTGTGCCTTTTGAGGGTCTCAAGTCGGTACGTTGACCCATAAACCCTTGGCAAGCCCTCAAAGTACGATTTTGGCCCATTTAAATAACATGGGATTAAAATCAAAACAAATCAAAATAAAAAGAAGGACCAGCTGCGATTAAATATCAATAAATTTAAATGTTAGAGAAATTTATAGGAACAGCTGATAATTATTTTAAAACTTTTATAAAGTATTTTTTTCAGGTATACCGAATGATTTGAACTACTTACTATATAAAATTACTTAGAGCAGAGATATTCCCCCCGTGACGGTTCCAAGGGGGGGGGCTACAGGGGCTAAAGCCCCCCCTCCTTGGACCCTGGAAAAATAAATTTAAACGTACATTTCGTCCTTAAAACAAGCAATGTCTTAAACACACATCAATGTAGATTTTATTAAACTTAATAAGCGATAGCAGGAGTAGTATTAAGTTCCACATAGATCAACTTTGTGGACAATAGCACAGCAAATAAAACAATATTACGCAATTGAAAGTTAGTTAGTTGGACACAATTATATACATTAATATGGCTTTAGAAAGTCAGTAAACAGCTTTTAGGACAATATTGTCGTAGCCTACAATACGTTTTGAGATTTTATGAATGCAATCGTCATAGTTAGTATTAAAATGTCTACTTATCCATGACAAATAAAAATGGGGAAATGGGAGGTTTTGCACACAGTTCTAGACGTTAAAACTGGCTGTAGAAAGTCACCCAAGGGCTCAATTTACACTAGTCTTTAGATATACGGGTTTAATTATCAGAACACTTATGTAACACCAACGCATTGCCAGTAATGTTGGAATTCACTTCAATATTAGGTTGAATTCTATTTAAGTTGGTAAAAGCTTTAAAAACGTTAAAACAGAGGGCTATTACTTTCAACACCTTTATTTACAATTGAACTCACAACAATAAGCATTTAAATCATAATTAAATCTTAGCAATGAAATATAAAGTACAAAGAATAAAATATATTCATCTGCCCGAATTTTAAGTCAACTATAAATTGGTGCTAAGTAGGCCACCAGATGCAATCACATTTTATACATATGTTTCTATATAATTATATACTAGGATACTAGCTAAATTATTTAACTAAGTCTTTTAACATTGTATTAATAATTTTAACAGCTGTAAATAAAACGTGTTTGTTGTCTTTTTCATGTTTACAAAAAGAGCAGCATTGTTTATGTGTAGTGAAGAGATCTAGTTTAAGAACATTGAGAACATTTCTTAGGACCATTTGGTAAGATACCATGGCTATGTTTTAATTGCATTAAACTTTCTTTCTAATCCATCTATCAATCTAATCTATCATCAGTATGCCTTCTAAAGAAAGACTGGCAAGAAAAAGAAAACAAGAATGGTATTTAGATAACGCCCCTGCTATAAAAAAAAGAAAAACAGAAGAAGCTAGCATACAATCCACTAATAAGAGTTCTACTTTTAAAGCTTGGTACCTTGAACATGCTAAAGGAGAAAAATCCAAAGCGAGAAAACGTTATCTAGCTAATATTGAAACTGAGAGGTTAAGAAAACATGTGCAGTACAGTGCTAATCCTGAACCTCGCAGAGCTAGGTTGCGGCAACAATATTCTGCTAATCCTGAGCCACACAAGGCTAGAATGCGTCAGAAATACTCTACTGATCCAGAATATTATAAAGCTAAAAAACGTTTAAACTACGGTGCAAAACAAGAAATGAAACAATCTAATCGCAGGAGACGTTACAAAGTACTTCGTGCTAAATACCCTGGCCACTTTCGCTTGCGATATAAACTTAAGGTTTTTCACGAAAGGGTGCAAAAGTGTGCAGCCTATCAAAGCCGACGCTTTTTAAATAGATCTGATGGGAAAAGAAAATCAGTAAAAAATGCAAAAAGGAAAACCAAAAAAAGTGTTGCAGCTTCACATATTTTCTTGGGGACAATAAATAGTGAGAAAATAGCCAGACTTATAGCAAAGAAAATACCTGAACAAGGTTATACTAAAAGGTTGCTAAGGGCTAAAGAGCTCTTGAAATGGGTGTTGCATGCTTATAAAAATTACAAAAACAATTTCCTTAAGCTATTTGTTAGCCTGCAAAATCGTGCTAAAGAGTCTCTTGCTAAGCTATCTGCAACAAGCACGTTTGAGGACAATGTTGATGCGTTGTGTGGGCACAGTCTTCATGTTTCCACGTCGGAGCCTTATTTCTGGGAGTTTACCTATAGAGTGTTTCCTGGTAAACAAATAACTGTTGGTAACGAGCCCAGCACAGCTCATAGTTCACCAAAGAAAAAGTGGAAATGCAACTCAGATATATGCTTCATTGAGCCTGACCACTTAGAGCAACTTAAATCTCTTTACAATGAAATAGTTTCAAGCTCTCTCACTAAAGGTTCTAAGCTTATTGTCAGCATGGGAGAGCACTCATGTCAAAGTGGTGTATCATCTCGTGTAGGTGTTCATCCTCACTCTTTGGACTGTTACTCAGGAGCATGTGTTTCGAAACTTCCTTTTCTGAGAACAATCTATCCTCACTTTCCTGCAATTCGTAGTCTTGTCTCCAAAATTTACCGACTGTTGAAAATAGCTAAGAAGATTATGCTAATTAAAAATGGCATTCTTAACGTGCAGGCGAACGTGTTGTTTTCGATAGAAAGGGAATTTAAAGAGCAAACAAAAGCCTTTCTTACAGATAACACAAGTGAAAGCAAGGTCCCTGAATCTGAGTCTCAGTTGTTTGCAAAATATCACAAAGCATTTGAGGCATTGGAGAAGCGTTCTTCTGAAACGCCAGTGTTTCCCTGTGTCTCATGCGATAAGTTGTTCAGTAAACAGCAAGTAAGCCTGTTGAAAAACCTAAAAAATCAAATTGTAGGACACATATGGCAAAGAATAAAATACATAAAGAAAGAAGAGTGCAAAACGGGATGGATTTGTCGAGGCTGCCTTGAAAAACTAAGGAAAGGTCAGATGCCTCCTACTTGCATTCTTAACGATCTCTATGTTTGTGCGCAGCCGAAAGAGCTAACTTGCCTTAACAGTTATGAAAAAGTCTTAATTCAGAGAGCCAAAGC